CTGGTGTGTGTTTGTTTTTCGCTACTATGCTGGGCCCAAGTTTCTGATAGATGTCTAGATGGCTTTCTGTACAGGAAGATAAACTGCTACCTATCTTGTACACTGAACAGGCTGAAATGAAAGACACCCCTGCGTTACACCGACCCACCTTCTATCTCCTCGCAGCTGCAAGCTTAGGGAAAAAAAAATACCCATAGTAATTATAGGACAGGTAGCTTACCTGTATTTGGATATTTCAAACAAGTGATTGTGGGAAAATGGGCAATTTAAAATCTGTTCAACTCGTGGTCAACTAATTGCCTACCGCACCCAGTTAAAAGGTACTGTGTACAGTAGTTTATAATTATGGATTGCAGCATGGGCTAAAACGAGAAGCAGTGTGAGCAAGTTTCTAGCTAATGCATCTAATAATACAGCGCTATACACAAAGGATCTGTCAGCAATTGATGCAAAAAAGTCCGACCAAAATCTTTTTTTTTTTTCTTTCTTCTGAATTTAACAATAAGGAATTTAAGCCTCAATGTGGCTTTAGCAACCAAAGAAAAGAAGCTCTTGGTGTCTGCATAATACCACTTTGATGGATTTTTTTCATCAGTCCTCTGTACGTGGCAACAAATAAACAAGTATAATTATACTTGTGAAGGCCTATTCATTGCTTTGTCAGGATTAGATATATGTGCAGTTTTCACACTGAGCCTCTCTTTTGTCTTTGCCTAACTCACTATGACATATTGATAGAGGATTTGGTATGGGGAAAAGGCCACAGCAGAGACAGTGATGACCTTTTGGAAACTTGATATAATTCAAGGATTTTTATTTATTTTCTGCCTTTTTTTTTTTTTTGTTGCAAAAGATTTCTTTAACTTGTAACCAAATTCAGAGGCAAGTGTGCAACTTTTAACCCATTTTTACCAGAGTAAATAAAGAATCAAAAGTGTTATGAGATGGCTAAAAAGCAGATGGGAATAAAAACAATAGGCTAAGAAGCCTCTTGGTCTTCTTTCCCAGCACTTAGCACTGTGGCTAACCTAGCATTCCTTTCCCATTATTCCATCCTCTTGATCAGATCACGTTCTTTTTAATCATTTCACAAACACTGTCTCACTGGACCGTAGAAGAGGGCTGGGACAATCTCAATTAAAAAACAGAGGTAAAACTGGCATTTGTGAGTCTTTGTTCTAATGGGAACTCTGCATTCTAAATGCAGAGGAATTCTCCTATTGTTCAGAAAGCACCCCCTTTTCATTAGCAAATCTGGCTGTAGGTGGGTTTTTGTAATTTAGCTGAGCAGAGTTTAGAGCACAGTTTCTCCAGGAGGAAAGCAGAGGTTAGCAATTTAAGGTTTTCTGTATATTGGTCATTAAGTTCCGAGAAAAGGATTTAGATGATCAAAGTTAGTGGCCTTATGAATCACTGAGAGAACTTTAAATACTAAGCAGAGCGGCAGGTATGTATTTCTGTGAACTCAGCTGATAGCACTGGCAGAGGTTTGTTTTTTCTTGATGTCTTAAGGCTATACAGATACGTGCTTAATATATATGCATTTTTTGAGTTTTTGTGTCTGAGGAGGAGATATACTGTACGGTTTGCATTGTGATTGCTTTTCTAAAGAGAACTGAAAGCTGTTGTAGAGACTTTGTGGAATAATGTTGGTTCTGAGGCAGCCCTGGTGATTTTGTTTAGCTATGACTTTGTGAAACTTCGTTATAACTCTCATAGCAGGTCCCTTGGGCGGGGGGAAAAGGTTTTTTATTTTTCAATATTGAAGATGCTGTAACCTTTAATGGATGCATGTTCCATCATATGTTACACACAATCAGTAAGTCATCCCAGTAATCTTTAATTTCTCATCAAGGTATAATGATTTCATCTGCCTAACCTGATAGCAAACATGGCTACAAAGACTGTAAACAGCTCAAGTATGGAAATATACTTTATGCTTTCTCTCTGTGTTGCCTCTCAGTTCAAAGATTTAGTATTTGTTTTAATTGGAATGAAATATGCTCTTGTTTATACAATTGTGATCAGAGGACTGATGTCATTGTTTAGTACTGATTAATACTGAAGTTATGTAACGAGACCGATAACTATAAATGTGCGGTTTATTTAAAAATGTTGATTAAGTAACAGAAAAGATGTTATGACACTTATTACTGTGCTGTTTTTGCTTTTTACTTTGGTTATGTTGTGGAAGGTTTAAAAATCTCGTTTAGTTCTGCTAAATCTTTTATAAGACTGGAGATTGCAACAGCAAGACTGTTCAGTGCAGGGTTGTGGGAAGAAGGGGAAGGGTGAGATGCTACGCTGCAGAATCCATTTCGTATCAGCCTAAAATTATTTAACGTTCCTAAATGCCATCCTGGTTGCAGTATAGTGTGCATGCCCCTGACTACTCTGGCAACTGTTTTTGTGTGCACGCTGGACACTATGACGCCGCGGCATGCCGTGGTGTACTTGCAGCATGGGTAGAGCTTGCTTCAAGCAGCAAAGGTTAAATGCAAAGCCACAGATAGGGCTAGAATAGTTTTAGGCAGTAGCATCTGGCTCCATTTGCAGTATTAACTCCTTCTTTATCGGTTGGTTTTGCCTGCGAAAGAGGTTTCATCCTGACCGATCCTTAGACGGGTGTGGGTA